TTATAGAAAAATATTTTTAAAGAAGGTTTTTATGGCAACTGTGTACATAAAATTAGTAGAAAAGCAGAAAAGGGTAGTATTTATTATACTTGGCATCTGACTTTTTTTTTTATTTGATGGTACAATTATAAGTCTAGTTAGGTACAGGAGACACTAGTAAATTGATTGGTCACAATCTACATTTATTTCATGTTTACCACAAGTTGACTTTAAAGTATCCGTTGGCAAAATTTCCAAAGGGGAGAGGAGGAGGGAATACTAAGAAGAAAGCTATTGCAAACATGCCACTGGCCTTCTGAATTAGAAATCATGAGTCAGACAGGAAGAAGCCACAGGGAAGGAGGCTTATAAAAGAAAATATTATGCTTTACTACAACAAAAAAAGAGGAATAACGGTGAACAGGCCATGCTCTTGAGTTTCTGGTAGCCTATTTTTCAATGAAGCAAAGTCAAATCCATGTAAAAAACAAGGGAAAATATTATAATCAAATTCCGGTGCATTGACAAACAATATTTAGACAAATGTTTACTTAAGGAAAATTCAAATTACTTGAGTGTCTTTTTTTTTTTTCTTTTCAGTCTTCAGATTCTATGGAATTCTCAGAATATAAAGAGAAAATGACACTTCCTGGATTCATTTTTATATTCTCTTGCTACTCTTCTAAGGAAGATGATAAACTAGACCTTCAACAGAAATTGGTTTGTTTTATTATAGTTTAAGTTTGGTTTATTTTAGAACTCTGAATACTGACCTTCTTCAGTAGTCCGAACTGTTTTAGATTCACTATCCATTCCTTGGAACTCATTAAAATATGGTCGAACTTTAATTTCATAAGTCACTCCCTTTTTCAGATTGACTAAGACAGCATTTCGCTCAGTTGGGACTTTGGCATCTAAATTCTGCCATGTTGACACAGTCTGCAGGCCTGAAGTCTGACGATACATCACCCGGTAGCCTTGAATAAACTGGGGCTGGCGGTCAACCTGAAAAACATGGCAAAAGCTTTTGAAACCAAATGAAAGTATTTTAGACATCACAATGGAACCATCCTGATTTCTCCTGTCCCTATTTCAGTCATCATCAACTACCGTCTGAGTGATGCCATGGCTTTCTCATTAATCTCCCTGCTTCTTATATCTTATTCCAATCCTGAGTTCACACTGCTCCTATATTATTATTCCCAAAATGAAGAGTGGAACAACTTTCTTGTTTAAAAGACTTCATGGTACCTAAGATAACTATTTAATTCAAATTCTTTGGATTAGCATGAAGGCCTGTCAAGACCTAGACCTGTCAATTTTTCTAGTTTCATTTATTATCTGTTTGTCATTTTCCTATATTCAGCACTTCTTATTTTTGTGGTTTTATAAATTATGTGCTATTTTTCAGGGATATCCATTCTCATCCCTTGTCTATTCACAAAAGCTTTCATTCATTTAGATCATTTTTTGAGTTTCTACTGATAAGTGCCAGGGGTTTTTCTAAACTCAGGGGATAAATATAGAATATGATAGCAGAGTCAGTCCCTGCCTTATGGTGTTTAGGGTCTAGATGGAAGATGGACATTATCTAATAATAACCTGAAGAACGGTCAAGTTATATTCATAGCAAATGAACATTAAAAAAACGTTATGAAGGAGATGTACAAGAAGCTAAGAAAGCCTAGGATGAAGAGGAAGTTGAACGAATCGGGAAGGGAAGAGAGAGACTGAAAGTGGTAGAAGTAGAACATCTGTTTTAAATGCGTGAAAAAGAGCTTTTATCCATTAACAAATATTAAATACTTTTCTTAATTTACCAATTTCTGGTTTCTTCCCATGGCTGGTACGATTTGACAACTTGCTTGATCCTTTCATTCATTTAAGGTACAGAGAATAAGAAGCCGTTTTTAAAAAAATCTGAGATTTTTAATTTGAAAACTCATATCAAATAGAAATTTGAAAAAAAAACTTTTACTCATAAGAATTACATGAAAACTGAATATATAAAAATGTAAACTAAAAATGAACCATGTTCTCTTCTTACATTTATTAAACACTCTTTATTGAAGTTTTACCATTTTTTTCATTTTAAGGAAAAAGAACTTTGAGTTTTTTAAATATCTTTTTAATGTCTTGCCATATTTCTAGAAATGCTTGATAAATATAATTAGCATAGCACCTTCTCCAATTAATATTCCATATATTATAGTTTAATAACCACATTCTTAAAAGCTTTTAATTTGACATATTTCACTGTCAAATAAAGTGTAAAATTTAATCAGAAAAAATGAAAAAAATCTTATTTTAGGAAGATTAAGGAAAGAGAGGAAATAGAAAAGGTAGCAATAAAGATGGTTATTTCAGCTTTTAAAAAATTTCTTTAATTGTTAACACATTATAAACAAAAGTTACTTTTATGTATTAACTTGTAACTTCTTTAGTTGTAGCATTTTAAAATATTTTCAAGTGAAAGCCAAACATTTAAAAATACAGAACCTCAATCAAAATACAGTGGAACAAAGGGATATTTTTATTTTATATTTTTGGATTTAGAAGATCCAAGCTAGAAAAATTCATGAAGCCTGTGAACATGAACATGTGTATGTCTATGTATAGCTAATTCCAGTTTCACAGATGAGTCTTAACAAGTATTGTTTTACTCACCTGAGAGCTTTCTAACCCTCAAAGACTTTTTGGAATTAGTGCTACACTTGTATGAGGTTATGTCATAAAAACGTAAGTCTGATGCCAAAGCTCACGATCTTTGAATTCTCATCCATGTTACCAGTTCATGTTTATACCAACAGACATGTTTTTTTGAAATGCAGAAATTGTTCTGACATTATAAAATAAGGCAAATAAAAAGCAAAAAGTTAAATTTGTGAAAGCTAAAAAGAGAGACCTTTCATCAAAACTGTCAGTGTTTAAAAAACAAAAAAATCTCTGCAGCATATGTTAAAACAAGATTAAGTTTGCATTTTATAAACTTCTCTGCATTCGCTTTAAGTGAATTTATATACTGAAAGAAAGACATAACTCACAATAATAGCTTGTTAATACTGAAAGAAGCAAGCTGTGTTTTTAAGAAGAACATTAAGCAGCTGTTTCCAGATGAAGGGAGTTTGTAAATCAGGGTAAATTAGTTTTTCCCATGTTTGGTTTTTATTAATTAAATGTTTTAGGAACTTTATGAAGCTAACGTTTACTACACAACATTGCCTTGCTCATTTCAGTGTACAGTGTCTTTAACCAGTATATTCTAATGACCTACTTAATGACGAAGTAGTTTAACTTGATTTTGTAGAGTTGCAATACATTCTTTTCAGAAGGAAATTTGTTATTACAGGTGGAAGCAGAAATGAAAATGCTGAACATTACCTTTAAAAAAAATAGGTGGGATTTTTACTGGATAAGCGTTCTGCCCCATTGACTTTTGGAGCACATTGTGACAGGTGGTCAATTTCAAGTTAAAACACATGCTTGTTACTATTTTTATTAACATTCTGATTATAAAAATCTGGCCACAATTCCATGAGATTATAGAATTTTAAAAATCGGTATATTCTGAAAAATGGATAAACAAATGAGTTGTCTTAAGGAAAAAGTGAAATGATGAAGAGAGATTCAGTCTCAATTGAGTTACAGCTTAGCCTCTTAAACTTTCTAAGCCTTAGGTTACTTAATTTGCTCAAGTGATACCCATTTACAAGGACACAGAAACAATTAAAATGACTAATATAAGTTAAAGAACATTGTACGTTTTTAGAAATTCACAATAATAAAACATCATTGTTAAGAATATACTAAAAAAAGAGAGTCCATATGTAGCCTTTGAATAATCACTTTCACTAAAATTTTTAAATAAGATACTTAATATTAATCTTTTCAATTAAAAAGGCCACTTAAACTGAAAAATCATAGTGAATTTTGTTTGATATGCTTAGTCTGCCAAGTGACTGATCTGGATTTTCTGAGTTCTCAAATTTTACTTCACCAGAGCACTTTTTCAACTCCAGTAACAGTAGTATTTAAGGGGCAAAGAGTCTGTGATTCTTTATATTCTTGACCAAAACAAAACATACACACACAAAATTGAATAAACATTTTTAAATAAGAGATTCATTGCTATTTTCTTTGTGAAACAGCCATTTCCTTATCATTCTGCCTACCCTCATTGTAAGAGTGGTCATTTTTAGAATGTAGCATTTGCTAACTATTATTGCTTCAGGATTAGTCTTGTGAGGCAGGGGAATAGTTTTTTTAATTCAAAAATCATGTACGTTTGGTAACTGAATCCTGCCAACCTCCTCACCTGACCCCAAATCTAAACATATGGGCTGGGGAATATATTTCTCCCTTCAAACTCCAATACATCTGTATCTCAAACAGTGTGAAAATTTAGAAAAAAAAAATACACATTTAGCAAATTGAAAATATGACATCAAAATAAAATATTTGGCCATAATCTCTTTAATAACCAACATCAATACCAATCTGACTTTATTTCAGTACATTTACCTTTTAAATACATACTTATCTCATGTGTAAGTATAAATTCTTGGGGAATATAATTGAACACCTGTGATATAATTGAACAATTTCTTTTTTAAAATAAAAATATATGAAAACAACTGACTTGATCATTCAACAGATAGTTATTGAAATGGTATTTTATAATTGATACTCTGCTCTGAAAGAAAACAAATTAAAAACATGATCTCCAGACTCACAGAAGTCAAGCGTATGACTGAGAGAGATACAGAAACTAGAAATGACAAGCTTCTTGGGACATAGAAATGAATTTGACAATGTTCCTCTCCTGAAAGAACTCTCAGATGACTGACCTGTAATTTTGATCAAATTTGATTTATTCTTTTTAACTCAAGGACTTTTAAAGTGATTAACTTCATAAACATAATGACTTTGATTCTTATCTAAATCATTCCCACATTTAGAAGCATTTTTAAAGAGACTCTTCAAAACTCTCAATAGAGCAGAGAAGCCTTTTTCAATTGAGAATGAGGAAAAATCTGCAATTAAAAATGCAACTATTTCCTTCACTTTGTTAGTTTTTTATCTAGTCAAAGCTGCAGAAGGATAAAAGAGGCATGGTAGATAATACCCCTACTGTGCCACTGGAAAAAGATGAGGTCAGTATGTTCCATTCATGAGAAGAGAAGAATAGAAACCATTATATGCAGAAAATAAAATATGTCTATGTGAAATTATACCAAAATAGAATTAAAAATAGTGTAGTCCTAATCACAATTACTTTAAAAATATTATAAACTTAGTTTTAGTTTCATTAAAGTATTATCCAACTTTGTACTCAGGCATCAAAAATGTGACTGATCACATAATCTGATTTAAGAAGTAACAAAATGCCCCATCCAGGATCATATATTGAAATTCCACCATTAAAAAGCCTCCTTTCAACTGAATATTTGTCTACAGTTTATCTTTCCAGTGAAAACACTACAAGCAGATTTGAAGGAAATTCTAATGCTATTATTACCTATAAATAGACATAGGATACTGGGAACAATGTTCAACTTTTCTACATTGGCTTCTTTTTATAAATTTATAAAATTGTACCAAATATCATTAATGTCACTGTGATTCTGTTGTTCTGATACAATAATGCAATTGTTCTAATACAATATTTCCTCGTGTAGTAGTAGATGACTGGTGATACCTTTCTGATGTCTGAAGATAGAGTTAATCACTTCTTTTTGTTTGAAACCTCTGTCTAAAGGGTGCGTATATATCTGTTATGACTCTTATTCTGATCATTAAGAATTTCCATTTTTCTCTTAAGTAATCTGTGTCTCTTTCTATAGGGCTCCCTCACATCTAGAAAAAAAATCTGTTCTCAAAAAATGCTGGTTGAACTAGATTTGTTCAATAGATTTATTACTGAGAGGACACTAAAATAATTCTCTTTATTGTGTTTTATGCTTCAAACATAACTTATTAAGAACTGATGATTTAAAATAATCACTTTTCCTTCTTCAACTTCCCTTGTTGAGAGAGTTGATGGAAATGAGTGAAATTGTTGTTTCCCTAAAGAAACTTGGACTCTAAGTGGGAGAAGGGAGGGTAATCAGTTTTTTTTTTTCACTTAGAGTCATTCCTCTACAACAAAAACAACAATAATAGAGACATAATTATAATTACTTTCTAATTAAGATTATAATTAAAGTAAAAATTTTTCTAGGTATCCATAACTAAAATGTCCATCACACCATATATAAGATTTATCACATACAGAGCTTAAAGAATATGTGCTCTTCTATCATCCTGATAGATTTTCTTATGGATTGTAAAAGAGAGATCTGGGGTATAAAGGAGAAGTTGGCAATAACTATATTAGGCTCAGGGAAGATTTTCTTGCTCTTTTCAAAACACACTCAAATACATGCACAAGTGTTAGTATTCTCTAATATGACTAATATTGTTCTTTACTAAAGTGGCTACCGTGTGATCAAAACATTTTACATTTTGAAATAATATTGGGCAGCTTGACATTTAATAATGTATGTAATTGAACATTTTGGCATATATTAAAATATCAATTTATTTCTTAAAACCTACTTGTTTTTTATTACATGCCAAATTGTTAAAATTATGTACAAGTTTTGGTACTACTAGATGAAATTCAGCTAAAAGTATATAAAGATGTTTGGTTTAAATTCAGAAGAACTATTCACCAAAATTAAAATCTTTTGTGCTTCAAATGAAACCATTAAGAAAATAAAAAACAAAACACAAATTGGGAGAAAATATTTACAAATCATATATCCGATAAGTAATTTATATCTAATATATAAAGAACTCTTATAAGACTATAATTAGAAGACAAACAACCCAATTTAAAAATGTGTAAAGAATTTGAAGACATTTCTCTAAGAAAGATATACAAATGTTTCACAAGAACATGAAAAAATACAAAACATGATTAGTCATTAAAGAAATGCAAATTAAAACCACAATGATATACCACTTAACACTCACTAGAATGGTTATAATCAAACAGTCAGAAGATAACAAGTGTTGGAGAGAATGTGAGAGCAATTGGCAAGGATGTGAAATAAACTGGAACCTTCAAATATTGCTAGTGGGAACATAAAATGGTATAACCACTTCGGAAAACATTTTGGCAGTTCATCCAAATTTTAAACAGAGCATTATCTTATTACTTAACAATTGCTAGGCAAGTACCAAGAGAAATGAAAACATTTCGACTTGTACACCAATGTTCATGGCACCATCATTCTTAACAGCCCAAAGTGAAAATAATTCAAAGGTGCATCAATTGATGAATGGATAAAAAGATGTATGTGATACATCTGTAAAATGGAAAGCTATTCAATAATAAAAAGGTACAAAATACGTGACATAACATGAGTGAACCTTAAAAACATTATGTTGAGTGAAAGAAGCCAGACACAAAAGACCACATATGGCATGATCTCACTCCTATGAAAGAAATAGGCAAATCTATATAGACAGAGAGAAGTGGTCACGAAGAGGTGAAGTAAGGGTAATGAAGGAGTGATTGTTAATTAGCACATGATTTCATTTTGAGATGATAAAATGTTCTAAAATCATTTTTGGTGATGATTACACAACTCTATAAATATGCTAAAAAACACTGAGTCATACACTTTAACTCTAGTGTATTGATTATGTTTCAATAAAGCTGTTAAATATTCAGAAAACAGAACATGCCATGTTTATATCGAAATGGATCTATTTTTATTATATTTATTATTTTATCTATTGAATACTTTTTTGTGGTTGATTACACATTGATTTTAAATGGTAAGGATTTTTATTACTAGTTTTGATTTGTTTATTTAATTTTTTTCTTTTTTGGTTTGTTTTCTCAAAGGAATAAAAAAAACTACTCAATATAGCCTTTGAAACTTACCGTCCACGTGACTTGAACAGTGGTGGGCGTCAATACAACAGGAGTGTGAAGACGAACAATGACATCTCCTAGTTCTTTTTGTACTTGTCTATGATCCACTCCTTGTGCGGGCGGGCTGATATCTACAGGTAGATGACCATTCCCAGTTTTTAAAAATTCATAGTAAAATCCCAATGTATATTATATAAGACAAAATTGCACATTAGAAATAATTATAGGAGAAAAATAAAAATCTTTTGTAACAAAAAACATTAAAGCATATTTATATACATACTGCCTTGCTAGGATATAATTCAAAAGATTATATTTATCTTCACTAAAATAACAATAAAAGAGTGTATGCAATCCCTTATTCCATTCGAATATATTGTTGTGGAAGGTCTAGTATTATCTTATTAAAGAATAAGATATGTGCTGTAAGACTTCTCTGGAAACATGTTTTATGTAGATGTTAAAAAAGTTCTCTAGTAGTTACTGAGGTCATATCTGAAAATGGCTGTTTAGGAATTTGTTTAATCCTTTGTCCCAATTAGTAAATTGTGTGTTCTTACTCCTTGACCAGACTGAATCCATTCAGTCTGGGGGTGTCCATTCAGTCTGGGGTGTGGAAGGAAAGAAATCAGAGGGACTTGGAAAGTGAATTATGTCACTAAAGGTAAACAGAGTGAGAGAAGGAAGGGGAAGAAGCCCTCTAAATTCACAAAAATACCTTTGACTAAAAAACTGAATACTGATCAAATGTTCAATAAGCCAATACCTTGCAGCTGCTTTTTGGAAGAGATTGAAGGAAGAGGAAAAGGAGAAAGATTTGCGATGTTTAAAATGATATATGCCCAGACATATATTGTTTTGCCCCTTTATTCACTATTCACTTAAATGCTATTCTATTGTCTCAAACAAAGGTTTATATTCTATGTAGACATCCAAGTCCATCAAAATGATATCAAATACTGAATTTCACATATTCTCAAATCAATCTTTTTAACTGGTGCACTGTAATGTTAAGTTGAATTTTTTTTCTCTGACTACCTTAAAGAAGAAAGTCCCATTTAAAATAATTTATTTTCTTAATCTCGTTTTCTCCTATTTTTTCAGGCCGCGATGCAACACTCTTGCAAAAATCTTTTAAGTGCGTGTTTCAGCCATAACTTAAATTGGGTGCACTAACTTAAATTGGGACATAAATAATTGGGAACTATCCTTTGGTAATTTTTTTTTTTTTACAGTTCTGCTTTTTTCCATCCTTAACATAAAGAGCAGAGCAAGTTTTATTGAGAAAAATGTTATGAATATTATGTTAACAATTTTAACCTTTGCAAATATATCTATGGTCTACTGTGGTATTGATGGTGCAAGTGTTTGCTGCCTTACTAAAATAAAAGAATTCTAAATTATATGGTATTTAATATCTTTCAAAAACAAGAGCTCACATAGTAAAGTGTTCTTTGAAAATAAGAGGTTTGCTGAATTCAAAGCTCTTGAAAGTGTTTTATCAAAAATGATCCTGACATTCAAACTCAAAACATGAGTTTTCCTATTAAATATCTGTTAAGAGAACATAAATCTTTTGCTCTCTACAGTCTCTCAGCTGGAACAAGCCAGATCACAAACAACTTTTCATTAATCTTTTTGATCTTTTCACCGAGAAGTTATTTTATGAGTCAAGATTTAGTGACTGGCAGTTATTGAATGATCAAGGTCTGCCAGATTTAATCAGACCAAAAAGTCTCCCCATTCTCTTATCTCCCCACCTTCCATTTCAGCTACACACAAAAACTGACTATTTCTATCCACGCAGGTAAAAATGATCCAGGTACTATTATTTTCTGACTTAAAACCATACATCTCTTCCTCTTCAAGTTCAGTAATTTAAATTACTCATTAAATTCAGGCCCACTAAGAGCAACTGAATCCAAGCAAGGTAAAATATAACCAATTTTAGATCTTAAAATTCCTTGTTGTACTTTTTCTTTCTCTTGAGACAGGTTCTTTACCTACAGGTCCTTTTTCATTATGGAAAATTAATCACATTACTGCTTAGAGAACAATAGCAAATTGGCATTCTCTCCTCCCTTGATTGTCATCATGTCAGCAACGTTACAGAATCACGTGGTAACTTTATTCCACTTGATTCCTTTAAGGCACCCTTTTCTGTTATAATAGCTTGCCAGTTACTATCACTGAACTACATTGTAATTATAATAATATTTTATGGCTGTATGGTGCTTTTCATAGCATAAAAATACTACTTTGAATTATATCTTGTTCAAAGTCTTTTACACATAAGAAATAATCAACCCTTTTCTCAAGAACCCTATGGGAAATAGATTGTAACAAATAATAAAGCCACCGTTTCTATTTTATTAATTCTCTTTATCTACTAGTAGAAAGAGAAATTATTATGCCACATGCTATACTAACCCCTAGACTCCAATGACTCCTCAATTTGAAGAGACAGGCTGCTAAAGATGAGATGAGAAACCTTCTGTTTTCTTCTATTGTCATGCTCTGGGTGGATTTTTTTTAAGTAGTCAAAAAAATCGAATACCTCAGGAAGAAAACCTGATTAACTGCTTTCTGAAACAAATTGTTCCTTTAAATATCTGGCTTATACGATGCACTGTAGCAATCCTTGTCAAACTTGTGCATCGGCATCACCCGCAGGGCACCTTAACAGAGACTGCTGGGCTCCACTCCCAGAGCAGCTGAGATGGGGCCTGAGAACCTGTATTCCTAACGTGATTCCAGGAGATGGGATGCTGCTTCTGTGGAAGCCACACCTTGAGACCCACTGCACTATTAAAGTAGAATTCCTGAACAATAGAGAATAATTTTGATATCCCTATCTGAACATCTTGTCCATTACAGAGCACTTTTTGAAACTGTATAATTAATTTCAAAGAAGAAATATTTCCCTCCCTTTGAAATATAGTAAAGCCTCAACTTAGTTGATTCACTCTTAGTATGTAAATATACCCAATTATTTGTTTTTTTTTACTAAATAAACCCTGACACCTCCAGAAAGAGGACACACTCACCAAGGTGAACAGCACATTTCTTTTTCAACTGGCCTAGTGAATCAACAGATCTAGTGAATCATTATAACAAGTGATTCAGACACATTTATCTGTCTTCATGCACTCCCTTTGTTCTTAAAGGTCTACTTAGTGCCTTCTTCTAGAACCAGTCATGTTTATAGCTATTGAAATTACCTTGTGTGCGCACAGGATCTGACATTGGGCTTGGGTCACTGAGACCTTGGGGGTTGATTGCTCTGACCATGAACAAATAAATTGTATTGGGCCGCAGTCCTCTTACTGTATAGAGGGTGGTCTTCACATGGTTTGCCACTGTCTGCCAGCTATTGCTCACTGATTGGCTGAAACATGAACAGAAATTTCATTTAAAAAACAGTCATAAAGGTACTGAAAATGGAGTTGGGTATCAATGACAAAGGTTAATGGCTGAAAATTAAACACACACACACACACACACACAACGCTTGAAGTGTTCAGCCCAATAAATGAAACATTCGGATGATTTCAGTTTATTCAACAACAAAGCCGAGCCCACCTAACAAAAGTGCCATGCACAACAAAATTAAACTCAGCCCAGGAGATGTGACAGCCCTTTGCTAATGCACAGCAGCCCACTAAATGAATACCTGTAAAAGGAACAGAGGCCAAGATCACAACATCAAGTTTATACAATAAATATGGTCCTCGTAAATGTATATATATATATACCTTGAAAAGAATTAACCTGTAGAAAGAATAAATGGACTACAGAGTAAATTATGCCAATACATTTTCCTGTTACAAGGTGTGCTTTCTTTTGCATCAATTCCACATGCAATATTATAATAGAGCCTTCTAAAACTACACATCTGTAAAAGAAGAAAGGAAGCATGTAATAAATATTTTCCCTTGGTCACATTTTTAACAAAATTGTACATTACACAGTATTGTGATTTCTCATCTTGAAATGACAAAATATCTCTGAATCTGTATGTGTGGACCCCGTACAGCCAGTTACAGATGGGATGCCCATTTAGAGCACTTTGTTTAAGGTCAAATGCTGCTTTTGTTCAGAATGAAGAAAAAAAATGTAATTTTCAGGGCCTTCCATTTATTTTTCAGAAGTTCTGATGCATCAATGCACAAAAATTATAGAAAAATAGTATTTTGAAATTTAAAAACCACGTATTAATTTCTGTCTTAAACAGATTGAGCAAGCCTAAAATGAAAGCATTTTTAAGCATTTGTCCTAATGCTTGAAAAGGACAGTGTCTATCACTATATTATGATGCCAAATAGGAGCACATTAAACTAAATGTGAAGCTACATTGTCCCATTTGTATAAATATTTTATCAAATTCTCATAAAACAATTTTCTAATGATATTTGCTAATTTATAGTCTATATCCTTAAATTGATGACTATTATTTCAAATAACAACTGGAATATCGAGTTCTTTCAGCAACCAGAGGTGTATGAAATCAACTTCTTAATTGTAGTTCTAAATTTTCTTTTAGGCAAACCCAATTGATCTATTCAAAAATATAGCATACAAACATTGGAATTATTTTAAATTCTGCTCTAATTATTAGGAAGTAAATTTCCAGGTTTCGGTGTTTTAGTAAACATTGCATAATGTAAAGTCTCTGTGCCTAACTAAAATTATTTCTGCCTAGTTCTAAAGCCAAAATTCTCATTTTAAACCTTTATAATGGTCAGAGAAAAGAAAGGAGCTAAGTAATTATGTCATGAACTAAATCGCTGTACTTAGACATGGATAATGCATATTTAATCTTATAATTAAGATATAAATAAAAAATACTAAAGTCTATTTCTGAATAAAGTCAGATTCAAAATGCACTAATTGAACACTTTCTTAAAATAAAACAGCTCGTGTGAGATTTTATGATATAGGAGCTAAAGCAAAACCTCAATGGAGAAAAAAGAACTGTCTCATACCTGAACGCCTCAATGACATATGCACTTGCTGGGAGGGTTCCAGGAGTACCTGGTTGCCAGGACAAGGTGACACTGTTCTTAGTAACATCAGTGACCTGAGGTTTGGATGGTGGCCCTGGCAGGTCACTTAAATCATAATTTTTACTGATTGTTGCTCCAGATTCTATAGAGGACAAACAAAAAGCTTCATTCCTGATTGTATAAGCAGATAACAATGTTTAAAAGAAGAAACATAGTCTACAAAAGAAGTTGACCTAGACTGAGCAATTCATCTTCGTGAATCAAAAGTATATAAGTGAATATTTACTTTTCTTACATGCGACTAAATGTTTACTTTCACACATGATCAGTAGAATTGCTTTCTCTTTAGACGGAGAAAATAAAATAAGAAGATCTGTCAAGGACAAATATATCAAATTGCATACATGCAATTCTATATGCCAAGGGGCGCAGAAATTAAAAAGTGGCATAAGACTTAGTTTTTACACTTAATGAATTGAAGATCTTGATCTCTTCTTAACTTATTAGATAATGAACTAATCCCTAAAATTGGGTTCAAGATTTTTTGTTTTAAGATAATTCACAAAGAATTCACCTGTCACATCCAGCACAGCACTCCAGGAAGTCTCTCCACTTGAACTTGTAGCCACACACGTATAAGTGCCAGTATCAGAAATCTAGTGTGCAAGAAAGGGAGAAAATTAAATTATGTTAATTAATTTGTAGAATTATTACTCTATCTCAAAAAGGCAATATTTGAGTTATTTTTCAAAATGATATACATTTGGCCATCCAGGTATACATGCGAGTCAATCATAAGTACACATAAAATATTAAAGTAAACTTATAGTTATTTTATTCATAAGAGTCATTCAAATATTTATTATGTTTCTATAATTGTTATTTGTCTGGTAAACTTTATTTGTCTATCTTTTTTGCATCTACACTTATCTTTTAATTTTGGTTTTTGTTGAGACTTGACTTTGTCAAAATTCAATATGAACAACTTAGGACATAATTTTTCAGAAACGTATAAACATTCAGAGATTAATAATACAAAGCTGCTCTCTCTGTCTCCAATAAGCTATATTTCAATTAATAAAATGTACCCAGGAGTAAATAAACACTGAGAAGGGGTCCATACCCCACTGCCTCTTCATTTTTAAGGCATGGAGAAAAGTGAAAACCAAAAACTAAAAACAAAATCTCTCTCTTTAAATAGATCAGTACTCAGTTATATTTAAGTTGTAGTTGTGTAATAGTGAGTGAAATAAAGTTGTGTTATTAAAAAACAAACCTTGCCTATGGATAGAATCATTGCAATTTAGAGCTAAAACGGACCAGAAAATAATCTAATACATAACTCTTTATAAGTATATTTAAAAATTGCCAATTTATTGATCACTTAAAATTTTTTTATCCATTGGAGTGGCAAAAGTCTTTTAAGAATAATTAATAATAAAATCAAGAGTTCTCTTACAAATGTAAAAAGCAGAAGATTCTGTTATATATTGACAAAAGCCCCCAAATAAATAAAAGATGTGGCTCAAAAACCTTCTCTGTGGTTGACCCCAGTGGGCTTACATTGCAAACATTCATTTTCAGCAGTTTAGGGCTAAAGGAAAAGTGAGACTGAGAAGGAAACCAATGCCCAAGCAGAATAAGGGAAGTCAGAAGATGTATAATTAAAATTCTGTGATGAACATGAGTCTAATTGTCAATGAAATATGGAGGTTCATGGAACATAATATCTGCTGAGTTCAAAATGTAAGTGTATCAATGACTCAACCTTTCACAACTGATTCTCAGGTAAATCATTAGTGCATGGATGTTATTGCCATTCCACCATTTTAATTGATTCTAAATGTCATTATGTATCTTAACTTAAGTTTCAAATTGCTCTGGAATGTCATTCTTTGCCATACCATCTCCATACAATTGTCTTCCATTATACGGAGGTATGATGGGGGATAACCATTGTAAAAAGAGCCATTCTTTCAAATGTGTCTGTGCATGCATTACAGTCATTAGAAATCTTTGCATTTAAGAAGCATCACTCACAAACTAAATATAATGAGACAAGGTTGGATTTTAATGGGATGTTCATTTGAATATGCTCTGTGAAAGAGTAAAGAATTTGCATTTTATTATGGCTGTTCGACTAAAATGTAGCACTTGTTATTATGTGCAAATGCTAAAAGAAGAGTATATAGGTAATGCCTCTTAACTGCATCTCCTTGTCATTGTGTGGAGATACAAGTCTGACATTAGCTGTAGTAGGTATGTTTTAATGAGTATTGGAAGATTCTCTTCTCAGCAGATACACATTCAGTTACCAATTAGCTGGACTATGAGAATACAATGTTCAACATGCTATTTTTCCCCCTTGCATTAAGTACTGAAAAAGAAATAGTGAGACACAAAGAAATATAAGCTATAGAAAGTCTTTTGATAAGAGTAGAGTAGTCTAAAACACATTTTTAGCTCCCTCTAAAGACAGTCATTTTACAGAAAAAGAACAATGTTTCATTTTAGAGTTTTGCAAAAGTGCTAGCAAAAACCTAAATATCATTGCTAAAAGTCACTCCTGTATCACCATCATCATCAGCACATTCATTTTTATTCCTTTAACTTTAAATAATGTTTTTTCCTGATCACAAGTGCTTCATATATTTTCCATCTTTCTCTTTTTATCCTTACCCACGTGCTTTAAAAAGAGATTCATGTACTGTAAACCACCACTCTCCATTACTAACTGTTCTCCTTGTGTAGTTGGCTACAGACAAGCCCCCAAGAGCTTGCATTTAGAGAGGCTATTCAGAAGCTTGTCAGAGGATTCAAAGTTTGTTTGACATCATCAAGAATTCACCTTTAATTGCTTCTTTCAAACACCACTGAGTATTTTGACTATTCATGCACACCTTCTAATTCATCAGTACAGTAAAAATGCATTAACCTCCATGGCCCAAGTCTGCCTTTAGCCCAGAGAGAGAGGTTAAAGAGATTACTCAAGGAGAGTTGGCATTAATTTTTCAATAACTCCCATTTTTTTCAAAGAAGGTTAACAATTAATTTACAGTCAATAAAAAGACAGGGTAAAAATCTGTATTTATTTTTCTTTTAACTGAATTTAATAGCATTTTTTTCTACTTAGAGCAATAATGACTGTCTCAAATTTAAATTAAAAAGTTATATATAAAGTATATTAAAAGATTAAAGATTTGTGTTTATTTGTGTTTGTGAATATATATGCACACAAGGCAAAGACAGAGTCATTCTTCTTTTTCGTACATGTATCTGTATGACACACTGGTAAACACCAGATAAGTGTGTGACTGCAAATACATTTGCATTATGAGAGAAGAATACTCCAAATTGTGATCATTTGAAAATACATGTGATAAAATACTTTATCTCCCTACCCTGGCTTCTGAAAGGAAAAATTCAACATTGGTTTTTAGATTTTTTTATTGTTTATATCTTTTCTCCTTCTTGGTTCCCGATTTCTCCCTACATAACCAAATTCTACTAATTGTTCTTCCACTGAATCTTTTTCAATCAATTTTTCTACATGCATTATTACATCAACCATCTTAGTTCTGACTCTCATTCCCAAATTCATAACTACTATGACATATTTTCAAGCTTTGACATAATGTTTTCTGCATGGAGGGGAGGCTTTCTATATTTGATTGACTGGATTAAATATATTTGTGGAGGGCAGGTGTCCCCCATGACACATCTTCTTGGTATTCACACCTTGTATACGTCCTCCCCTTGAGTGTGTGGGGGTCCTATTGACTTACTTCTGACAATAGAATAGGGCAAGGGGGACAGAATGTCACATTTGTGACTTATGTTGCATTGAAATGCAATGCCTTTCTTGATAGGAGACTCTTTCTTCTTATTGACTTTGAGGAAGCAGGCAGTCATATCAGAAATATCCAAATGGCAAGGAATTAAATGCAGCCTTCAGCCAATAGCAAGCAAGAATCTGAGATCAGTTATAAGGAACTAAATGCTGCTATAATCATGTTGCTTGGAATCAAAGCTATCCCCAGTCAATCTTCAGATGAGACCACAAGCCTGATACCTGATTGTAGCCTTGTGGGACCCTGAAGCAGAAGACCACCTAAGTTATGCCCAAAGACATTAAGAGATAATAACTGTGTTTTACTTTAAGCTTCTAAGACTTTGCTATTATTACAAAGTAGTAGAAAGCTAATACAATACTCAGAAGTACACATATATTTTGAGTTGCTCCTGAGATAGATCTAACTGATTTAAGTTGGCAGGAATGATCATTTTCCAACATCAGCCTGTTAAAAGACCAGAAAGGCTTGTTTTTGTCCCCAGGTTTACATCTAAATTCCACTGCAACTTAATCTAAAATGTAAGATTTCCCATCAGCTAACCTGACTCCTGTGTACTTAGTCTTATCTCTTTCATTTTTCCACACAACTGTTTGGTCAGGCCAATTTATCCACATTTTTTTTCAAATTCCCTTTGTTCATGAGAGTAAGTCAGAAGCATTTATCACTTTTAAATTATCATAAGTATTTTACTAGTATCATTAACTTTATGTGTTTAATATTTTTAGTTTCATTGATTGTGTACATATGGGTTAGAATGAAGAAGTAAAAAGATTCTGTCTGTTAAAAATTTATGAGTAACCTAATGGCATAAAGACAATGATCTTCCCTCTAATTTGAATTCATCATTTATACAATAAGAAATAACATGGCTATAATAATATGTATAGCAATCGTGCTAGGATATAAGATTTCAAGTTCGCAACAATTCAGTTTTCTCTAGGGCAGTACTTATGTCAACAGGAAAATCAAAATACAAGTCGAACATTACTTACCCGTAAGTTTCTAATCTGCAGTGTTCCTTGCTCTTGTATAGTTGTTCTTGGATCTCTACCCAGAAAAGTAAATCCCTCCTTTAACCAGCTAATTACAGGAAGAGGTTCACCAGTAGCTTTACATTTCAGTAATGCTGTACCATCTACTGCTAGCGTTTGGTTGGCTGGACCTTGTAGAATTATGGGTGGAGGTCTATCTGTCAAAACTAAAGGATAAAGTTATTTTCAGGATATTTTAACTACTGAATTTTCTTGACATTTCAATATTTCAAGATATTTCAATAACTATATTGAAAGTAAGGTTAAAGCCCCAAAGTCATACACATTACTAATAACTTATACTGCATATCCATCATATAGCTATCATCTATACATACTATACATACGTCTAAATATACTATACTGAGGCCACACTATTGTTTATAACTTACTCTGAATTACCTATAATTAAGATGATGATGGGATAAATTCTAACATTAGAAAGCCTTAGTATCATCAAAGGGTTTAATCATGTTAAAATGAAAATATGGAGAGCTTATAGCAGTCATTCATAAAATGTCCATTTTATCTTTCATATACATATTTAAGAAAGCTTATAGAGTATCACATGGGTAGAATTAATTTTCACTTTTGATTTTATTATAAATATATGTATAAATGCAGTTTCACCCATTTTAGTACTAGTCACATGTTATATGTATATAGACTATAATATTTCTGTTGATATTAACATATTTGATTATAATTTATTTTTTAAATTGTGGCATTGAGTCTTTAGATTCTAGTAGTATAATTTAGAGGATGTAATTTAATTAGTTCTTAGAATTAAGCAAAGATAAGCAATTTAATTAGACTTTGCACTATGACAAACATTGGGCTTTCAGCAGTTTATATATATATGTAGATATACATTTTCTTTTCTCTAGCTTACTTTACTGTAAGAATACAGTATATAATACATACAACATACAAAATATGTGTTGATTGACTGTTTATGTTAGTGGTAAGGCTAATAGTAGGGTATTGCTAGTTAAGATTTTGGGGAGTCCAAAGTTATATGTGGATTTTTGACTGCAAAGGGGGTTAGTGCTCCTAACTTCCACATACTCAAGAGTCAAACCTGTGTGTGTGCGTGTATATATATTATAAATATATATCTAAATATATATAATTAAAATACATATATATAGTAGAAATTAATTTTAAAAATTAAAAAAATCAAAATTTATATTTAAAAATTTTGTATCCAAATCAAAAAAATAAAAACAAGATCATAGATACAGAGAATAGACTGATGGTTGCCAGCAGCAAGAGATAGGGGTATGGAAGAAATAGGTGAAGGGGGAGGGGAAATCAAAATTAAAGAAAATATCTTTGCTGATGTTAACTTTGATCATTGGACTGAGGAGTGTTTGTTAGGTTTCCCCACTGTATATTTACCCCCCTTTTTCATATTTTCATATTTTACTCTTTTGGGAGGAATGACTGTGCAGTCTATACTTAAAAAGTGGGGATTTATGCCCTACTTCTTTGAGGACAGAGTAATTATTAAAAAAGTATTTGAAGTTCTTGTACACAGAAGATTGGTCTCTTCCCCATTTATTAACTTATTCAGTCATTTTTTTAACTTATTCAGTCATGGACTCATGGATATTCATTTTATAATTTAAGTTATGATCTAATATTACTTTATTTGTTCTCAAATTTCTACATTGGTCATTGAGTGTTCTTTCAGTTGGTCCCTGTGCTCCTTTGATATCCATTCCCCTACTCCCAATAATGTGTGGGTTTTTGTTTGTTTTGTTTTTGAATACTTTCTTACTTTCTCATACTACAATATGCTCTAGGCTTATCTTATACAACTCCCGCCCCAGCCATAAATCAGCCATTCTATCGAATCGAACCAAACCAAACCAAATCAAACCAAACCAAACCAAACCAAACAACACACACATGTGCACACACACACACACCCCTCTATTTTTTGCTAAGCAATTATGAAGAAAAATAGTTTTTTCTCAAAAAAGGTCATTTTGTTTTACAATGTTAGTAATTTAAAAAGTCAGTTTTTTTTTTTTTAGCAGTTCTAATCTCTTTTGTCTATCAGACTCTATTAATGCCAGTTTATATAATTATTTCTCAACCTATATGCACCTTCTTTATTACTAACATTCACAGGTTTGGAAACACACACACACACACACACACACACACACACACACACACACACAATTTAAGTCCTTTTAGAGCCTACCAAGAGAAAGTCAACCAATTTTAACTTAAATTGGAAATTATTTTATTGATCCTCTACCTGTCACAGTGAACTTCCAATCAACCTAAACCTACTGCATCAAAATATGTATTAAAATGCGTGTGTGCATGTGTACGTGCATGTATGTCTGAACAATGCAGAAAACCTTATAAAAACCTAAGAAAATCAATAATTTATTATTCATGTATTCTTTACAAACAAAAATTAGAACTACCATTTCACTGGTTTTCATTGATCAAATTCTTCATTTTAGAAGTAAATAAAATAATCTTCAGAGAATGTGAAAGTACAGTGGTATATTAATTGTAACACATCTGGCAATTATTGTGGAAACATATTCAAATTGAAAGTTTCATAAAATTTATTTCCTTAGCGGGTCAAAAAGAGAAGGTCAATTCACAAAACATTATAAATTTTAAATTTCATGAAAAAAATGGATCTGCAGCACCAGAGTAGAAACTATTTGTAAAATTTTATGTAAATTTCTTTTAAATTAAAAAAAAAATATATATATATATATATTTATTTAGATAACTTTTTATAACTGGCTTTTATTTTTATATTCCTGAATATTTCATATTCATTAGATATAGCCCCAAACACATCTAATTAGTTTTTTTTTTCTTTCCTTTTTACTGCCTAAATGAATAGCTCATTGTATTTTAAACGAATTTGATCAACAGAGTAATTGAAAATCTCCTGGCCAGAAGGAATTTTCAGTTTCAAGAATGTTATGAATGGAAGATGACCACAGATGTCTATAACACTAAGGTCAATGGTTAAAAGGTTAGGGTTTGTGGTAATCTGTGAACAACTCCAAAATTTTCTCAAACTATGTATTATAAATCCTCAATAAACCATTCATATAAGATCATGATGTAACATTTATTATCATATAAGGTACATCTTTCCAGTCCTTTTAGATTCTATTGGTTGTACTCATAAAATTCTCATTTTAATCTTCCAATTTTCTAATTTTTTTTAGGCAAAAAAGAGCAGAAGAAAAGAACAAATTAAGAACAGTACCGATGAATTAATGAGAAGGTCTTTTAAAGGGATATTTTGAAACTTAAGTGCACTGAAGCATCTTAGCTCAATGTATAATCAGTAAAATTATCACTAAACAGCACCTTTCATCACCATTAACAATCTATCTTATATGAACACTTGATTTAAAAGGATTTTTGAGAACGTAGTCTAAGTGCGAAAATGTAACAACAGAAACTGCTACAGCTGTTTTGCTTGTTTCTCGGAACATAGCATATGTTTTCATTCTGCATTAGAATTTCAATTGGCTCTAAATTGCTCTGAGTCATACAAAAAAAATGTTAAAATGAAAATAATGACTGCCATATTTTTAAATTGTTAACCAATCTGAAAAATTTAAAACATTGAATAGAAGCTGAAGTCATCAGTCAACATGGCAAGTTAATATTTGGAGACAGAGTTATTTATAATAATAATATGTACGTGTTTAGGTCTTGAAGTTGGATTTCATTATTGTCAAAATCAATAAATCTGTAACCTTCATTCAACATTTTTGCAAAAGGATCTTGATTTTGTGGTTGCTTATTTAAGTAAAAATCAGTGTAGTAATTCATGTTTAAGGCAATTGTAACAAAATGTTCAGAGCCATCTCAGTCATCAGATTTAAAATTGTTTAATCGTTCTTTTAATTTTGACCTCAGAAACACAGCTAGACTAGCTATTGTTTTGTGAGATTGTCATCAACTAACATAAATTCTCAAGACAAAATATTCCTGTTTGTTGAACTAGACATAATTTTGAAATCCACCTGTTTCATAAACCACATCAGTCACATTATAAGTCAGCACTTCTAATTTATATATATACTTTTTTTTACAAATATGGTTTGCCTTTTCTTTAAAAATTTCTTCATTTAAAAATATTTTAGAGTCTGTCTTTTGTAAAATATTATAACCAGCTAGATTGTAGCAGAGATCTTAAATGTTATGTTTAGAATGTTTCATAACAGTATAGAATAAAACTTAGGCTTTGGTCATAATATTTTATTTTCCAAGTATAGGAACTTGGAGATTTTTGCTAATAATAGAAAACATAAGAACTTTAAAAAATTAATAATGTTTTATTTCTTTTAAAGAAATATGTAGGTACAAAGTATCAAAGATCTTGTTCCTCTAAAGAAAGAACTTCTCAGCACTGTTACCCTTGAACCTGACTTCTTTCAGTTCCATAGTAGTAAATCTCTGCAGCCTCAGAAGTGTAGCCATTAACGACTCAGTGTCTCATAGCCAGTGTTTCTTTATTCTATCTATTCCCATTACTGGCATTGTGCTGAATTAGGCAATATCATGAACAGACATTTAAAAATATTACCTTTCTATTAATTTTAAATGACTTGTTAATCTACATATAAATATGAACTCTATATGAAAGTGAACCAAATTCTACAAGCAGAGAAAGAAGAGAATCAGAGAGATCAGAGCTCTTGCATCTCAGAATCACAGTGTCAGGGAAAAAACAAACAAATGAATAAACAAACAAACAAACAAACCAAAAACCCCATAAATCTCAAAAATATAGGAGAACAAGAGAAAATTTGTTAATTTAAGACATCAAACAATAGGGCTTAAATTCATGCTCAGAAGTTCACAAAAAATATCTAAAACTCCCTATCTGTCAATTGTGACAAACACTTGGGGGAAAAAATCAGATTATGAAGAGCACTACATCTTTTTCTAACTTTCACTATGAATGTACGTGCCTCGATTAAGATTCATAGTACATATGTGCAAATAAAAAACAATAATTTTACCTCCTTTAATAATTTGGAAGGTGTTTAATTAATTTAACTTAGTGAATGTATAATTAAAAAGCCATAGAATGCCATAATGTGATTAGCTAACTGAAAACTCATCTGTTTCCACTGATAACATGGAAGAGATGTTATCTCTCTGCTAGTAAAATAAAATTATTAATATCAATTAGAAGCAATCATGTCTTTATAAGACTAAATAAAATGTACAAAAAGCATGTCTATACACTGAGTGTAATGTCATTTCTTTTAAATAATGCATCGTTTTATTTTTAAGAATAAATAGATCATCTTGCACATTCTTTTTTGGAAAAAATAAATAGTATTAAATCAAAAAGAATTAGAAACTATTAAAATGTTATTTTACTTAGATTTAAACTAAGAAGCACTATTTAAGTAATTTAGAAATTACTTAGTAATTCAGATTATTTCACATGGTTAATGTAGAACTTGAAATAAAAATTATTACTTTCAAAATACGAATCTAATAATATCTCACCGTCAGTAACTTCCAGTTGAGCTTTTGCTAAAATGCTTCCTGCCACAGTTAGGGCCTGGCAAATATAGTAACCCGCGTCAGAACGCTGAATGTTGGTAATCGTGAGGTCTCCAGTTGGTGACACAGAACACCTACTGTTGGGCTGCTGGGGTTGGTTTGGGAAAAGCAGGTTCTGTGGAAACAAACACAATCTCATCAATATTTTCCCGCTTGGAAGAAAAATCACATTAACAACAGTTATTGCAATTATTGGAATATGTTTAGAAGAAGAAAAACATAGATTTAAAAAAAATATATGGAGTTGAAATAAGTAAATGCCACATGGTGAGATTCATTGGGAAACTTTTTCCAAATCATGGGAAAATAATACTCTCTAAGAATTCAGTATGCTCTAGTTAAAGGAATGATCATCTAAAAAATAAGAATTTTAACCATTTTCTCGTTCCCTGACTTGCTGCTAGTTACTTAATATCTATGAAACATGGTTTCTCCTCTGTAAAATGGGCATAATAATGTTTTTCTGACCCAATTCATAAGACATTGTGAGAATCTGAATGTAACATTAACTATGTATGTGTTTTATAAACTACCCATTACTAAAGAATGCACAATATATTTTCTGCTGATCGTTTTAAATAATTGATGTAATTAATTGAATTTCCCTAAGGGTGTTTGAAAGTATGTGATGAGATTGACATAGAGATAGCTGAATCGACTTCTACTATAAGGTTTCTGCAGGTTGTAACAGCTTGGAAAGGAACTATGAACAAATGCTGCAATCTAAACAAGATTAAGCAAAGCATTAAAAATGAAAAGGAGATGAAGAATGTTTCTGAAGTGTGTATGTAATCTTAAAAAATTTCATAATAATATTTTCTTTTAAAAAGTTACCTCGGTTTACTATATATCTCATTTTAAATCCTAGCAACCTAATCACAATTTTTTTCAAGTTCTTATGTGAGAGGGATATTATTAACTTGGATAACCTATGTTGCTTTACTGTTGTTCAATTAAGAAAAACATTTGAGTATAATAAATCATATTGAGATATATTTCCAAGTTGGATTATAAATAAGGATGTATCAATTTTTATGTTGTATTTATTTACAAAAGGAACATTATAACCCTCTGGGATCTGTTTCTTGATATAGTAATTAATTTTCCAGGTTTATAATTAAACAGTTTCAATACGTTACAATCAGGAGGTAATAACATTCAATTAAAGGCATAAGACACATTTTCACCTTAAAATGTTTTTTACCCTTGAAGTAATACCAATGAAAGAGGATAAAATAGGGTATTAACACTTTTCAATTACACTAAATGACTTCAATCCTGCAAATGATGTCCTACTTTAATTAGAAACTCTTCTCTTTATTGCAACATGATGGATGTCCACTTTATTAGATTCGAGTGTGACACTATAAGCCCACTTTACATAAACATTACCATGTTGTTAAGCCCTTTTTATAAGAAGTGATGTTTGCTAGCATGTCAGGAATATAATTTCAAAATGCTATTGATCATTTATAAAATCTGTATTACTATATAAGGCTAGACATTTTAAAACATATGAAACATAATTTGAAAATAAGCTAAGTCTCCTGTGAAATCCAAATATATCACTGAAATAAACCATCTGAAAGAGAGTGGTCTAATTTTTAAAGCCACTGATACAATAACTCACTGTGTGCACTTTCTACAATTAGCCATTAGAATACTAATTTAAATAGCCCTAATACATCAGATGGGCTTAATTCTCTCTGGGATCTCTTCCTCAACAATGTAATATCAGTCCACCTTCTAAATGATTCGTTGACATGGAAAATGGCATATGATTGAGGTTAACCCATCATCTTTATCCCCTGCTTGTATGACATAGGCAAAGAAAATGGATTACAAGCAAAACCCAGGAATTTGACAGAGCTCATCTTGTCTCCGAGTGCCTGAGTATCCTATTAGGACTAATTGGCATTATCAGCACATATTGAGGAATATGGACCATTAAATCTAGGCTCTTAACTCTCTCTACTGATGGGTAGTCATAGATCACTGTAAAAACTGGATACTGGAGACAGTGAGACCAATTTGTTTTTCCTAATATCCCAATTCATGACTTGAAAATTTATAATTTACTCAAGCACTTCTCTTTTGTTCTCATTCACAGTCTCCTTCCCCCACTTTTGATGTGAGGAAAATAGGTGAAGAAAAAAAAAAAAAAAGACCTAAGATTATAATCAAATCAAATTACCTAACTGGAAAAAATCTTTCTAGAGATTAAGATCTCTGAAATTGTATTCCATTTTGTCAAATAACAGGAAAATAAATACTTTAAAGTTATTTGATCATTACTTCTTTAAAAACTATTGAAACACAATGTAACATATTTAAACATCATTTTTATTGGTCCATGAGACCAACACACATTTTATGCAGTATCTTATATCAACCTGGAGTTACTTTGGGGCATGTGATTCACGCATGATATAGCTATATCTATATAAGAGGAAGACACGTTATAATGGAATTTGACTCAATACATGGATTCAAATTGTAAATTCGCAACAATCAAATTGCTTACATTGTTTTATTTATATCATTTATAAATAAATATTTATTACATTATATTTACTATCTGTGGCTTGAGGAAGTAACTGTATAGATCTAGGTACAAAGGTGACCAGAGTGGTGCTGAGTCTCTCTTCAGTGCTGGAGAGCAGTGGGAAAACTCAGAACCTGGAAGCTTTAACCTGAACAGAAGCCACTTCAACCAAGACACAGGGGGAGGCAGATGCATTCTGCATTTTCCCCATTTCTTACTACATGTTAGAAATAACATCTTGTTGACCCTTATAATGTATAATGAACTATTATATATAAACTAACTTAATCAGGAAATCTTCATAACTTACGTGAAGTAAAATGTATTATCCTTATATTTTAGATTAAGAAAATGAACTTCAGTAAAGATAAATAGTGCTACAAAGATCATACAATTGTGAAATGGGGATGGCTTTAGAATTCCTTCCTTTTTCAGGGTGTGTGTGTATGTGTATATATGCACGTGCAAGTGTGTTATAACTTTGTCATGTTTGTGTTGTTTTTATTATTAAAAAAAAAAGCAATTTTTAAGTGAAGAATCAAGAAACTCTGAGTAAAAATCTGTTTTATAGTTACTAACTGATAAAAACAAAAAAACGAAACAACAACGAAAAAAACAAAGATAAGAATTAAGGCCTGGAACAATTCCGATGTGGGGTAAGGCAATGGCCAGCACTTCACCTTTTCTTCTCTTCACAATGATTATATCCTACAAATCACAGGGAAGTGACTCCAACAAGGAGCACTGAGGAAGGGCAATTTGCCCATTCACATTGCGTTGTTAAAACTGCTTGGGTGGTACAGAAACATGTAGGAACCCACAACAATTAAAGATAATGATGGCTGAGGGGAACTTCCTGATGCCTCTCTACCCAAATAATCATACAGGAGTTCTGATCGACAGGTTCTCTTGATAAAGTAAAATGTTCCTCAAATTTATGTTAATTTTTTTAGATTTTCTAAGACTTTTTATCATGGTTTCCATCATTCCCCAGGAAATTATTTAAGAACTTGGACTGACAACAGAAGGTGCTGAGGAGAAGCACCAGTAGGTCTCTTCCTGAGAACTATATGCCAGCTTGGGGATGGTTCTAGAACATCTAGAACAAAATATCTCCAGGTGTCTCAGAAATGCACAAACAAATTCTCAAAGAATACAATTTCTGATCTGGTTTAAGCTAGAAATTTCACTCATAGCCTCAGAATCCAAAGGCTAAGTGTTTGTCCAAGTTTGGACCTAATCCTAAATGAGAAAAGTGGTCTCTCCAATTGACTTGTAGCAGAGAGTCTGAGAGGCTATGCTGCCAAGAGAGGACAAATCAAGGCACATGAAAGACCTAGCAAGTGTCGTTTCCTTCTGGTATAAAATGTGTTATTTTCTGTTCAATCCCACTATGAAGAAATTCAGAAGAGATGATGAAAGAAAATATTTTTCCTACTCTTAAATGGAAGCATGCTTAATATAATGATAAAGGATATATAGACAAAGGTAGTGTATATATATATATATACGTATATGTATATTTACCAAATGAACACTTGGGTAACGTATATATATATATATACGTATATATATATATACACACACTCTCTGTCTATGAAAGGGAATTGAAACTGGTTTCTAGGCCATTTAATAATGGAAATACGTTTTGACTGCTTTACATACACCCAGTATATTCTAAGTGCTTTCTGTGTCTAACTCATTTAATCTTCCCAATGTAACTCAGTACAAGAAAGCAAAATTACCTTTCTGTTCAGGGATTTTAAATAGCTACAAAGGTTTGGATTAGACCTTTAAAGATATTTTAGATACACTGAATTGTTTCTATTCTGTATCAGACATAATTTTAGAAAATTAGCACTAGAAAATAAAGAACCTTATATTAGAAATAAAATGAGTTTAACATTGATAACAAGAAAGGTAAAGCAAACTTTGAGGAGCACCAGAGACAGGAAGTTCAAGGATTTCAGAAAAGCAGTAAAGGTTAACACTCACCTGGCTTCCTTCTTTTTGCCAAAAAACAGCCGGTTGTGGATTTCCTTTAGTTTCACAGGGAAATGTTACAGTTCGACCTTGAGCAACAATCTGATCTCTTGGCCTAACCACAAACTGTGGAGGAGCTATAATTTAAAAGGAAAGAAAGTGTGTAAATATAAACCATTGACAAAGAACAAATATTCAAAGGGAAAATCTGGTGCTAGTTGGATTGCTCAGTACCAGACAGAAGCTACAGTTTTTAATTTATTTTTAAGCATTTCACAAAACACAACAGAAAAGAAAAAGAGCCTACATTACATGTGAGGCAAGAAGAATACTTAGCAGAAATATTTTCAATGTTGTACATTATAATCTTGCAGCCCATACAGTTGCATAGAAAAAATAATTTTTTTAATGCTATTCTAACATTTTTAAGGAAAAACATGGTTTCCCAATTGAGTTTTATGTTTTGAATAAATAAATATAGAAAAGAAGCACTCTATTACTCAAATATCTCCTTTCTGTGAAATCAACCTATTGACAAACATTGATTGCTTTTGTAATATTTGCAAGACATTGTGCTAGGCACATGGATACCAGAAGGCATAAAATAAGATCTCTATTCTCAAAGTGTTTATATTCCAGAAATGAAGAGTTGAAATGTTGAAGACATTGAAGAGTTGAAGAAATGTGAATTATATACATAGGAAAAATGTATGAAAGTGTTTTTTTCTATTTATTTCATTCAGATAAACATTAGTCAGAAAATTACTGTTTCTTTACAAGACACTAAATATAAGCAGATAAAAAACATCGATCCTGCAGCCATCAAAGAACTCATAGTGTAATGGAAAATACAAAGCATAGTGATGATGTGAACAGCAAAACTGAAACAACAGTTATCTAAGACTATGGTAAATTCTTTGATAGAGGTGCTCTCAGAGCATAGCAGAGGAGTATTTAATTATAGTACATGTAATAAATGTGATAGGATCACAGAAGAGAGGAATCCCTCTGTGTTCTGCTTGCTGTGAAAGGCCTTCATACAGGAAATGAACATTATGGGAACTTTGAGGGATGGGTGGCATTTAGATAAGTGGAGAAATAAATATATTCCAAGCAAAGAGCTTACTGAGCAAAGTACAGAAAGCAAAAACACATCTAGTGTAGAATAGGTAATCTGGCAGGAATAGAGGGTTCTAGCTGTATAAACATCACTGGCTATAAAAGGTAGATTTGGACACTGTCTAATTATGTCCTGAGAAGCCAAACTTGGGATTTTATTCTGCCTCTTTCTAAACTGAGGAGAAATAGATGCGAAGCAAAAATTTTGGAAGCTTTAACCCTCTAATGAATGTAGTATAGCTCGTGAGGGAGGTGGATTTGTCAATAAAGTAGGGAATCTGTAAGACTAGTAAAACGAGTAGATGAAGATAAGTCCTAGACACAAGTTAACTCCAATAAAAAAGAAAATAATGAAGTGGGGGTAAAAATCCAAAGAAAGTTCAGATTGAGACTGAAGTTTAAATGTAAAGAGAAAGAAGAAAGTGAAAGGCAGGAGACAACAAAGCTGGAGGTTTTCAGAAGGACATCTTCTTCATATTAAAACCACTCCTGTTGAAGAAAAAACAACATGTTTATTCCATGGCTTTTTCTAATCATCTTTTTTCCACTTTAACTTGTTGCTCATGCTAGCAAATGTAAGACCAAGAAAAACTTTAAAATCAACTTTAACTTTTATAACTTGGTATACATGGCAACAATCCTAAAAGAAATTTAACAACAAGCAACATTCAGTAAAGGCCTTTACGCAGAATTCTTTCAGTCCTTCAGGAGCACATGAGTGCAGGTCCAAGAATAAAATAAATGTAGGGAAGCCTCAAACATACAGCCAATTACTCAATCTTACAAGAAACAGCAGCAGCATTTAAAAAAAACTTCACTGAGATTTGTAGTGACTTATTTCTTGGTGTTTCATTATACTGCTTCCTAATTCAACACATTCAACACATACCCCAGGGACAGAAGGACTAAATCTACTAAGTAAAATTGTCTTCTGTAACTATAGATAACAGAAGACTCAGTTTAACAAGATGGAAAACTGAGATTTACGGATCTTTTTGAACAGAATGTGGTTTACGTTGCCTTGCATTTTCAGGAGATTACTTGCTTTTTACAATCTTGTTATTTCTACACAATTCCACTGAATCAGCAGATACATTGATTTTTTTTCTTTTTTTGGTTCCATGTTTTTAATAAAAATGATAGTTTAAATCAATGTTACGAAATTACTTTTGGAACAAATCTGAAAGCACAGTAGTGCCCATTTTTCAATACAGATGTGAAACCAAATGTGAGAAAAATTATATTTATTAAGAAGTTAAAATTCAATATATAGTACTTTACTTCTTAGTAACCCTATGAAAGAGAAATTTAGTGCCAATATGGACACTAATTAAGCAAGAATTATGGAATAATACAGTTTTCATCTCATTATCGAAAAAAAAAAAAAGTCAATTCAGTCAAACTTAGTTAACAGTCTTTGATAAAAGTCACATACTCAACTTATTTGAACTACTTCGGACCAGAAACAATTCAAATTTTCTCACATAACTTCCTTGAATTTGATTCTTCAAGTTTTCAAAAACTTCATGGTAGATGAGTGATTTTGCAAAGTGCTTTTGGAACCCAGATCCCACAATTTTAACACAGCTGCTAAAATATGCCCCCAAAATAATTACTGACAAATACCACATCATTTCATCCACTTTTGTAAAAAAAAAAAAAAATGTTTCATCTGTTTATTCATTCAAAATGTATTGATTGACATTCTGTTTGATATAGGGGATAGAAAGCCAAATAAAAAATTGCTCTGCCCTATGAGACTTTGGAGTAAATAAACAAATATAAATAAATACAGTAGAGTATGATTTCTATTATAAAAAAGAATGCAGAGAGCATTGAGGAAGAAAGCGTTGAAGAGCAGTAAACTAAATTAGGGATGAAGAAAGAAGAGGACAGATGGCAGGAGATGGCCATACTTGAGTTGCATTTTGATGCACAAGTAGGAATTGAGTAGATGAAGAGGAGTAAGATCACATGAGACAGAGAGAAACAGACATAAGGCCTTTGGAACTGGATATGTTAGGGGAGTATAATAATTTTAAGAATAAAACAAGAGATGAAGAAGCAACAGGAGTAAAACCAAATAATTTATGTAAAAGTAGCTTAAATTTTGCCTGAAAAGTGTATGGATCCGTTCAAAAATATTTATGCAAGAAAGATATAATGAGATTTGTTCTTTCTAAAGGAGAAATGGCTGAAAAACTTTAGCAGAGTGGGGCAAAAAATTCAGTTGAGAATTGCTATTCATAGTAGCATCTAAAGAGAACATTTCTTCAGAACTCTTAAAGGACAAAGGAATTTTGCAATATTATAATGTAATGATTACCATTAATGATATAATCTAAACAGAGCAGTAAATCATAATTTTTTAAGTTTTTACCTGATACCAAAATTTTAAAGTCCTCTGACAAAATGCTATCACTATTTGTTTTAGTCATGCTACAAAATACCTTTTCATATGATGTTTTATTTATATTGTATTGTTATTACAAATTATAAATACACTGTATTTCTAATGTACCAAATAGTTTCTTGTTACCTGAACTGAAGGCACAGTAATCTCCCTGGAACTGGAATTACCATATCACTTTTAAAATTAATAAGAGATATTAAAATATGTAACAACACAGATTTCAAAAATATTCCAATCTCTGAAAATGCCCATCCTTTCTTATTGTCGCCTGAAGTTGGACCACAAACTGCATCCATCACCTTTACTTCTGGAGATTCTTTCTACCCAAGATCTATATTGCAATCTTTCATGAAGGGATATCAGCTGAAAGAATTTATTTTTGAGGTTTTAAAATGAAAAATCGCATCAATAATTCTGAGAACACTTCACAATTCCTGTATTTCTTCCATGTGGCAGTGAAAATGGTTTGAAAAGACTATACTTAGCTGATGTCACCAATGGAAGAGAGTAGGCAGAGAAGTGGTGTTTTATCAACACAGCACAACAGCAAAAAGGGTGTTACACATAAAATGAATTTTTCTATGATAGATTTCATTAAATTTTTAAAAAAACATAATTAGGTCCTAAGATGACAATTTAAAACACACATTTAAACCCAATGTAAATTAAAGATGTTGAGTTATAAACTCCAGAAGAACATGCTAGTTATAGAAATGGCAATTCTCATACATTTCTAAGACAAAAGCCTATAAAATACATATTCCTATCCTCTATAAACCCAAAAACATTAGACAAATCTTTTGTAACTATGATGTAATAGCCTACTTGCTTAATCTGTTAAGTGATTATGTCTTATTGCTGCAGCTATAATAAGAAATGAGATGAAGAAGACAGAGTGGCACAATTCAGTGTTCAATCAACACTTACACATTAAAAACAATAGCTCTATAAGAAAAGTATGTTGTAAAATTTCCAGAGAAGTAAACTCAAATATAAAAGGTCAATTAAAATTAGAAGTCTGCTACTGTTCTCTTGAAACTGTTTTTGAGAATTTAAATACAACGCACATTAAATTAGATTTGATTTCTGCTAAATTATGCTTTGATACTGCATTCAGCCTAAGCTGGCTTCAATCAAAGTCATGCTATAGCTCTGTTATGCTAATGCCTGCTGGTGAGAGTGAGTGGGGGATATGGAAATCAGATGGCTGAACATGAGTAGAAAGCATAGGCCATGCATGAGGTGGGCTTGGAGATGAGGAAATGGGGGACCTTAAAGGTTAATCACATCATGTTCGGAATTGTTCTTTACAGGAGAATATGACTTTCCATGGCAGGCATGAACATGGAGATAGTCACGCAGCAGCTGCATACATTAATATATGACAGTGGTTATAGGCACACTCAGAAGCTCTCTTTCTTTGGGTAAAATTTTGTGCTTTAGTGAATAAGCTTATTATTCTGTAATAATACACATTTTGAACTTTGTATCTTAAAACTCAAGTAGAAAATAACTTCTTTTGCTATTTAATATTTTCAATTTTAATATATTCTATAAGCAGATTTATAAAATACACTCTTGCATCGTTTGCTATGTGAAAGATTT